CTAATAAGCATAAACAATGAATATTGCTAACACTCTAGCAGCATATATAAACACAAATCGAACAATTTGAAGACCATAAACGTACATTGTAGGTGACATCGGGCTTTTCAGATTGGCTGAGCAACGAAATACTGGAGTCAGCTTCCGGAGGAAGCACATCGACAAGGGCATTCGAGTGGCGGTGCAATGCAACAGAAGCCGAGGGCTTGAGAAGCTCCCGATTGATGGTGCTAAGAATCCGGACATAGTAATTGGAGCCGGTGGTGGAACCGACAATCGCGTTGTTCTGGTCAATCATCTCCATAAACTGCCCTATCACGAGCGGCACCGACTGGATCCGCTTGACCTCCTCCTGCGCCCGGAGGTGCTCCCGCCTCAGATTCTTCAGCTCATCCTTCACGTACTCCTCTTGGATCTCTATAAACTCCAGCTGCCGCTCCAGGGATTTCAGCCGCGAGTAGAGATCGTCATCGGCGTCGGAAGAGAGGTCGTGAGTCGATGTACCGGATCGAGTCGCCGGCAGCTCCAAAACCATCGGCTTTGGAGTTGGATTTGGGTCCAGAACCATCGGCGTCGCCATTCTTTACGCTTCTTTTCTGCTTGATGTCGTCGATAACTTCGGCCGTCGGAGCTTCGTTTTGGCGTAGAAAGCAATCAAAAGTGGAAACTTGACAGAGAGACCCGATTGATGACGAATAGGCTAACTAAACGACGTAGTAAAGCCAACCGACTAACTTGTCATCGGACCGAAGGATTATAATATGGGCTATCCAGTAGCCCGATATGAACATACGGTCCAGTCCAATTGATGACAACTAGGCAAAATAAAATGGAGTAGTTATGTTGTGCATCATGCATGGTGCATACGGATGCAAAAATGACGTCGTTTTATTAAAAACGCACATCCCACTTTAAAAAAAAATCAAGTTCAATTCCCCTCAACAGCATTATGTTGTTCATTCATTCTGGAATTTTAGTTCAAAGATTCTGGAATTTTAGTTCATTGATTCTGGAATTGTAGTTCATCGATTCTGGAATTTTAGTTCATCGATTCTGAAATTTTAGTTCATAGATTCTGGAATTTTAGTTCACTGATTTTGGAATTGTAGTTCATCGATTCTGGAATTTTAGTTCATCGATTCTGGAATTTTAGTTCATATGTTGTTGCTGGGAATCGAAACTGAATTATTTTTTTTAAGTGATACGTGCGTTTTTAATAAAACGACGTCGTTTTTGCATCCGTATGCACCATGCATGGTGCATACGGATGCACAGCATAATTTGCCAATAAAATGACGACGTAAACTCGTAATGCCCGATCGTTATGCTGTGGAACTGTGTCCACCTTTCAATAAAGAATTTTTTTGGATTACATTATAGTTAAAAAAATAAATAAATAAATTTTTACTACTTCATCTAAATCCCTTAAATTATGAATTTTTTTATCCACCAGGACTATGTGGTCTAATGGTACTCGGGTTGGACTTTCATTTGGAAGGTTGTGAGTTCGAGCCTCAGTGGAGGCGTTATTGGCTGGCTCTTTGTGTTTCAGTACGTGAGCACGGAATGGAGCGGTTTGGGATGCCTGTCTCCCAATGGCGAAGAAATTGATTGCCGCAGCGGCTGCCACCATGCAGGCATTGCGACAAGTACACGCGGCTGGCGTAGCCGAAGATGCTGGTATTGCCAACACTGCCTCCACCGTCATTCCCCTATCGTTGTGTTTCAGCCACCATGCAGGCATTGCGACAAGTACACGCGGCCGTCATTCCCCTATCGTTGGGACCCAGCTGACCCAGCTGCAGTACGGCCGAGAAAGTGCTACGTCGACGCTGGGTATCATCACGCCACGAACTCGGCTACGATCGGTCTTCCTGAGTTTCCTGAGTTGTTTCTCCCCACTTATGGCCAAGGCATTCGCGTGCAAAAAAGCCTTGTCATGGCTAAGGGCTCATGGAGAACACTCTATAGAGCTATACACGAATTGTCATACACTTCAGTGCTACCTATCTATGGTTGCAAAGCTTGCATATTTACGTTACGTTTGATTTCTGCTCAATTAATTTTATTCCTAGATTACACTTCAGTGCTACCTATCTATGGTTGCAAAGCTTGCATATTTACGTTACGTTTGATTTCTGCTCAATTAATTTTATTCCTAGATCACATAATTATTTAGCTCACACTTTACCTTCTACCGCTTTTGAACATGGTATGACTATGTATTGGGACGTTGTCCACTTGTCCCACCTGACTCTATTTCAGTTTATCTCTAAATAAAACCGCATTGGTTTGCTTTAAAAAAAAAAAAAAAAAAAAAAAAAAAGAACATTGAGCAAAACACCTAAAGGACTGGTACCATTAAATATATGTGACCAGTCATTTAGGTGTTTGCAACAAAAATATTTAGTTACTATTTAAAAAAAAATATTAGTAACAATTATAATGAATCTCATATATTAAATTATATTCATATACTATGAGTTACATATTTAAATAAACAAATTCGACATTAAATTATTTATATATGAACTTCTCATATATAATTTTGCATTGATATACTTTCAAAACACATTTAAAAAAATACGGGAATGATCTAGTAAGTATAAGAATATATATATAATTAAACCGGTATATTTTAAAAAATAATAAATAATAAATAGAGTCCTACATAACAATAAGGAAAAGGAAGACAATCTTAAGTTGAGTTGATGAGTAGCAGAGTTCGAGTTTGATTGAACGGACCCACACATTTGAGTATTTCACAACCACCTTTAGTCGCATTATATTCTTCCAAAAGGTTGAACCCCAGAACCCCAACCCTAAGGCTCTCAGTTGCATTATATTGCTTCACTTGACTCTTTCGTAACAATTTTTGGAGGTCAAAACGTAACCCCAGCACCCCTAATTTCCCAAACCCGAAGAGGTATTCAAGGAACGTTTGAGCGCTTTCTTCTCTAGCGGGGAGACCCATAAACAGCTTTTGGGAAACTCCGATATCATAGTGGTGAGCACGCCCGCGTAGGCCTGGTATTTAAGATCATCATTAACATGAATATCAACAGAAAGTAGCAGCACAAAATCATAGACATATATGATATATACATTGTGACTCCATATGTTATTATAATCTTCATGTAATAATTTATTTTGAAATATTTTATACCTTATTGTGATCTTGAAATAATAACTTATTTTGAAACATCCTCCCAAGTAGCGTTTCTATTTTTAAAATTTTTTTCTTATTAATTTATAAAAATGACACAATCTATCATTGTTTAATTAAAATCTTGATATCTAAATATGTTTTTCAGCTCCCAATTCTTTATTGTACTTTCATCAAGAACCCATTGTTATTTTTATATTTACTATAAAAGTAAAACATTTCTATATTTATATATCTAATGAATGGATAAGATTAAAACAAATAGATAATATGAAACAATATATTAAAACATTTCATCCATAGTCTATTTTATAACATATTTTAAAATACACAAAAATTAAACCCAAATATTTATACTTTATTATGAGATGTTACGTTAAATCATAAATGTGATATATATATATATATATATATATATATATATATATATATATATATTCGGATATTCTGATGGGTAATGGGTTAGATGACAAATATGAAATATCGATCCTAAACAAACATGGTTTGGATTGGATTTAATGATTCAAATTCAGATCTCATATAAATATCAACGTTATAATACAAAATAACACTATATATTTATTTACCGAGTATGTTATTAATAACATGAAAAAAATAGTTAAGTCAATCATATTAACTACTTGAGAGATTTGTTGACAAAGAGAGTATTCAAATCGCACAACAAATTGAAGCGGGAAACTACCGAATTGTGTTAGTAGTTAGCAAATAGCAGATTATATTAGTGTGTTTGACCAGCGAATTATATCAGCAGATGATAAAAATAAAATAAGAAAATTAACTATTTAGATTAACATGTAAAATACCTAATAATAATAATAATAATAATAAATAAATAAATAAGATAAAACATATGGGGAATCGAACGTCCGGCTCCCCTTAGTTTTGTCACTTTTCTCACATGGGTGGAAAAAGTGGCATGGGAGTCTTGAGGCTCCTATAACAAGGAACCTCAAGGCTCCAATTTCAAAAATGAGCCAACTAAACTGACTCTTGGCATTTAATGAGTCAAAACGGCTCTTCCACAGTAAACATTTTTTTAAAAAAAAAAAAATGGGCGTGTTTTGGAGAAATAATTCTCCAAAACTCTAAGTGAAAACGTTGTAAATTGCAGTGTTTTTATTTTTTTTGTGGTTTGAAATAAATTGTTGTTCTAAAATGTGTGAATAACCAAACATTTTCTTTAGTGTTTTGATATTTGGGTTACATCATATTTACCAACAAAAATAAAATGAGGACAAATAGTGAAGATGATAATTACAATTACAATGCTACTCAAAAGAGAATTAAGAATATTTAGAAAAATTGAAACCAAAAGTATTATTTATTCATACTACCATTTCTAGACTAAGTAGTTAGACTATCGATTTTATAAAGTTGCAAATATTTATTTTAGTGACAATTATAATGAATCTCCTATATTTATCTTGTATTCATATACTTTGAGTTATATATTTAAATAAACAAATTTGATATTCAATTACTTATATATGAACTTCTCATATACTTATTCAATTATAAACATTAGGCATTAATTAGTCAACACAATAATGATTGAATTAATGACTAATAGGCAAGCTAACAACGTTGTAATGCCACTTTCAAGAAACGACGTCGTAATGCCAACCGACAATAATTGTCATCGGGCCGAAGGATTATATTTCGGGCCTTTCAATAGCGTGATATAAACATAAGGTCCAGTCCAAGTTCTTTGGGTTGAATCTTCGGGTCAAACTGTCGGCCCATGAATGACGCAGGCGCACACGTAAGCCCATTAGGTTCACCTCAGCTTCCTTTCCCCGATATATATATTGTGCTTTCGCGTTTTCCCTATTCGTTTTTCACTTCGATTTGCCGCAGATCAGCCGAGCCGCAAGCAGACGTCGCCATGGGAAGAAGTAAGCCTAATCATCTTCATATTCTCTATAAACACCATAAATTGATAAATTAAATGCATATATGCATATATACATGTCTGTGCTCGTTGTCTAGTTTATGCATCTGTATATATTTCTTTCGCTATGGTTGTATAGAAATGTGTTTTGTTTGTAGTCTCTCTTTTGGTCATGAAAATGATGATATATTGAGCTGTTCTATTTGTTTTAGATACTTTCTCTTCGAGGTCTGCTAATTCCAGATTTATGCGATGTCTTTTAGCATGAAGATGCGCTGGGAATTATTTGTTGATTTTGTTTTGGGGGTGATTATGTTCTTGATATTAGCTTGGTTTTTGCAAATCCGTAATAGGAAGTGTTCCTTTGGGATTCGTTCTTATTTCAATTATTGTGCAAAAGAGAGGTTTCTAATCTAAGGTCTAAATAAAAGTGAAGTGATTTTGGTGCTTTAAGGTTAATCTTTGAGGAAAACATGCTCTTAAATTTGCTGTATTGTGAGAATTGGTTGTGAGGAGTGAGGGTTTCTTTTTTTTTGATATTGATAAATCCTTCTCAATTGTTTATGTTGGATTGAAGAAGAATTGAGTGGAACTGATCCACGGACTCTCTTTTTTTATTTTCTACAATTTCTGACTCCAGGACCAGCAAGGTGTTACCGTCAGATTAAGAACAAGCCTTACCCGAAATCAAGGTACTGCCGTGGTGTGCCAGATCCAAAGATCAGGATCTATGATGTTGGAATGAAGAAAAAGGGGGTAGATGAGTTCCCCTTCTGTGTGCACTTGGTTAGTTGGGAGAAGGAGAATGTGTCAAGTGAGGCACTTGAAGCTGCTCGTATTGCTTGCAACAAGTACATGACAAAGTTCGCTGGAAAGGATGCCTTCCACCTGAGGGTCAGGGTCCACCCCTTCCATGTTCTGCGTATCAACAAGATGTTGTCGTGTGCTGGAGCTGATAGGCTTCAAACTGGCATGAGAGGGGCTTTTGGCAAGCCTCAGGGTGTTTGTGCTCGTGTTGCCATCGGGCAGGTTCTTTTGTCTGTGCGCTGCAAGGATGCCAATGGCAACAATGCCCAGGAGGCCTTGCGCCGTGCTAAGTTCAAGTTCCCTGGGCGTCAAAAGATCATTGTCAGCAGGAAGTGGTATGTAATCTCTACAACTCTGTTGTTTTATATTTTTAGGATGCCACATTGCTCTTTTCGAGACCTGTATGATATAATAAATTATATTATTGATTATTGATGCTGTTGTGACTTCTATTGAGGTTTTGTTGTTGAACACTACAAAATTTTGCTGGATTGGTTTCTCTAGTTGAACTTTTAATCAGCTTTAAGTTTATTCCTATTCACTTTGTTTGCAGGGGTTTCACAAAGTTCAGCCGTACCGACTATGTGAACTATAAGAAAGAAAACCGCATTCAACCTGATGGTGTCAATGCTAAGGTTTGTTCTTCCAACATTTCAAACCCGACTGATTTTGAATTTCTGGTTTCATGCTTTCAGTTCATAACTTCTTATCTGTATTCCACATGCTATGGAGTGGTTGATGTAACACAATATCATGTTCCCTTTTTGCAGCTCTTTGGATGCCATGGGCCTCTTGCTAATCGTAAACCTGGAAGAGCTTTTTTACCTGCAACAGCATAAACAATATATAAAACTACAAGAAGCCCTGCCCTACCTACTTATGAAATGTACTGAGGATACTTTGGTTTTTAATTTTGTTTTCTAGCAATGTACCTGATTCTATGAATATGTTATGTCATGGGCTTATGGCTTAGACTTAATTATTTTCATTCAGCTGGTTTGTTCTGTTTTTATTCTTGATTGGTATATTGATTGTTAAGTTGTTGTGTTCTATTGGAATTTTTTGGGCCAATTTTTTTCATTATGTAGTCTTGGGGGGAACACTTAAATATGGCATCTTTAGGAAATGTATTTGTTCTTATTCACAAGTAAAATACATTTAGTACAAAGAAATTCGCCCAAAAGAGAGCAAAAAGGAATTAACATCATGGGAGTTTGGGTTTAGGTTTGCTTTTAGCAATAGAGTGGAGGTTCAATTCCTGCCATCAGTATTGAAGTTTAGGTTGAACTTATGTATAGGAATATAGCATTGAATCTTGAAACTAGATTAGTTCAATTTATTTGCTCATGTGATGTAGGATATAATTTGACAGTCAAGAAATCTATATTATCGAATAATAATAATAATAATAATAATAATTAGGGTTGTTAACGAACGGAGGTTGTTCGTGAGAGTATTCATGTTTGTGTTCGTTTGTAATGGTTTTGAAAATTATGTTCGTGTTTGTTTGTTAAGCGTTCATTAATGTTTGTTATGTTTAACTGCTTGTTCATGAACATGTTCTTAAACATTATCAAACGAACACAAACGAGCTTGTTTACGAGCTCTTAACAAACAAACTTACAATTGTTTAGACTGTTCGTTTATAAAACGAGCTTTAAAATTTGTTCGTTTAAAATGAATCTTTCGAATCTTTGTCGCGAGGTTGATAAATTATATGCGGCCACTTATTAAGATAGATGACCGAGAAAGAAAGGCTTTGCGTTCGAACATTGATTGGTCTGTTTTGGACAAATAGTCTTATAAAATTTTTTCTATATCTTCTAATGTTTCGAAGAAGATATGCTTATCAAGGTCTAAGTTAGCGTCTAATGTCTCTGTTTCCGTTCCTATTCTTTATGTTCGTTTACCTTAATAAACGAATATAAACAAACGCTTACCGAACACGAACACAAATAGTTTATCAAAAACTCTATTCGCTAACATCCCTAATAATAACCTTGCATTACAAAGAAGTTTACTGGTAGATCAATACTTACACTCCAAAGCTAAAGACAGTAGAAAACTTGGTTGACAGTTTTGCTAGCTTGTCAACTATTGTTTGTTTCTACATGACAAAAAGGCTGGAGATTTAGCTAGTACTAGTATACTTCTTGAGATTGTGCTTGTTAAGTAGCACGAAAACCATAAATGTTTTTAAAATAGACAAATGTTCACCCTCAGAAATTTCTATGCAATATATGAGTTGATTAGTCACTTCTACATGACAATAGTCTAGCACTCCGCCTTGTGGCAGAAGCCTCTTTCTGCAACGTTGTTGAATCTTTTGACTGAGTAGCCTCTTTGGTTTCTTCAGCTATAGTGGGGATCTCTTTCTGGGGCTTGATTGAATCTCTTGATTGAGTATTCCTTCTCTTTCTGGGCTTTGTTGTTTCATTTTTGGTTTCTTCAACTACTGAGGGAACCTCCTCCTGGGACTTTGTTGAATCTCTTGATTGAGCATCCCTTTTCTTCCTGCGTATCGCGGTTTCATTTTTGGTTTCTTCACCACCACTTTCTTCTTCCCTTGCATCAGTTTCATCACCCTGGCTTGAACAGTGGGATGCTCTAACTATGTACACCTGTGAGCAATAGAGAAAGTTTGGACATTGTTAACCAGAGGCTGAAACAATAAACAAAGGGTAAAGTGTAATATTGACACTTCAATTGTTATTATGGGCGTAATCATTACAATTTTTTGGGTGACCAAAGAAACCCACAGTCACTATTGAAAGTATGCACTGGATAAATCTCGCTTCGTGACCTTAACCAGCAAAAAACCACAAGGAGATAAACCAGTCTAGGTTGCCTATACTTGTCTGGCTCAAACCAAGAAGGTCAATAAGCCGTTCTCACGGGAAGTCAAAGTTGAAAGTTGAAACCTTGTGATTACCAAGCTAATAGCCCAACCATTACGATTTTGGTCATACTGTTAATGGTTTGAAGAAACTTGTGCGAAGAAAGCATGTGCCTCGTTATGATTTCAACGGAGTTTCTTTAAACCATTAGCAAAAAGACCAAAATCTTGAAATAATTGGAGGTAATATTTGCTCACCCATGATAGTTAGAGCTAAAACAACTGAAGTCTAACAATTAAATGGTCAAAATTGCACTTTTTCTGTAATCAAGAAATGGAAGTGTAATTAGTTCAAATGTGAATTTGGATCCAAGACCAAGCAACCAACCTTGAATTTTGTAGGCTCAACCAAATCAAACACTAAAGCATCACCATCATCAAGTTTATGATCTAGTGCAAATGCTCTCCATCCACCACTAAGCCCAGTTCTTTTGCTAATGTATACAGCATCATATTCAGCACCTTCCTCATCCTCTAACACTATATCTACGGTAGACTTGGGAAGATGATCCTCACAGAATCTAGTAGGAAGTCCCTGCAATCTTTACAGCCTAAGTGAACCAAATACCAAAGCAAACAGAAATATCTCAGGCTTTTCTTCTGTTAGACTCGTGGTAACTTACCAACCAGAAACAACTATACACATGAGATCGAACCATTGATTTGACAAAAGATGGATTTTCAGATTGTAGATTGCTTTGGAGCTTCTCTGCCTCCTTAAGAGCTTTAGATCTTTCTTCATATGATGCAGTTTTGACTTCTTCTATTGGTCTCGCAAGATAACTAGAAAGCCAGCAAAATCATTATGGAAATACTAGACAGGTTTTAGAGAAATTTAAGAATAGCCTTTACCTTGCCCATGAAGAACCCAACTTAGATCTCTTGCGAAAAGATGGAAGTTCTACATCTATCTGAGAATAGGAGAATTAGACACACTTAGTTTACAAGCAATCAAATACACATGAATCAGATTCTTCGTTTTATTTGTTTAGTAACCATATAGAAAACAATAGCAAGAGTAATGGCGTGCCAAGCAACTAACTTAAAGCAGTTTAGTTCCCAGGTAAAGGACCTTACAGAAGCTCCATGAATTTTAAACTTAACTCAGGGATGTTAAAACATTTATACTAGAATAGTAGTATCAACATGTAGAATGAATATGGGATTAAACCGAATTCTGCAGAGTAATGGCAAATAAACCCAGCTTCGTTCATTAAAGTGCAGGTCATTCTCTATGGCTTGACATAAAAAAATAACTACTTACATCATCACGGTATGATGGAGCAGGATTACGAGCACGCGAGGAGCGTCTTGGTTCCAACATATAAGCCTCATTTGGTTTGTGGCGTACTTTCAGTTGCTACATTCAAGTAAAAAGAAAAAAAGAGAGAATATAAATAAACTGTTTATACTTTAGACCATCACATGAAATCCTTTATGACATAGTAAAAAAGAATATTAACTATTTCATAATTTGATTAAACACCAATTAGCATAAACGGTTGCAAATATATAACAGAACATAATAAAACAAATACTTCACCTTGGCTGGAGACTTCTTCTCAGACTTTGCAAGATCAGACAAGCTTTTGGAGATCTTCAAAATTCCCAAATCCTTTGAAAACCAAGAAAAATATTGAAGCAACAGAAAATTTTCAAAACCCAATATACATATATAGCCACTGCATCCTATGGAGAATTAAAGGTCATCTCAAATGTCTTAGTATGACCTTTCTGGTCACTGAACAAAGTTATCACATTAAACAGGTAGATAAACATGCAAAAACACGAAAGGGACTACCTCAAATCGTTTCTTATTGTCCAAAACCCGTTGCTTACGAGCCTCTTCATAGCTGTTGGCGCTATTGTCATTTGCCATGGATTGCAAATTTGCAATCTCAGTGCCGCAGTACCACCCAACCTGAACCACAAGGACACAAGAAAATGCTCATAGTTAGCACTTCTTCCAAATTTTCTGGAAATTAACAATTAAAAGATGTGTTCCGTTTCAACTAAATTAATAATTAAAATACACATTTATATTTCATATATTATATGCTCAACAATAGATTGAAAACAAAAGGAAGCAACCACAACCAAGTTGATCTGTTGATTTGGTAACTACAAAAATTTCAACCTCCAGAGAGTGAGCCTATTAACTTTCTTGGTTTAAGCTGACAGATTAGGCTAGTTTATCTCTTTATGGTCGTTTGCCCCGTGATTGGATTTCCTTAGTCATTCAAAAAAAAAAAAAAAAAAAAAAACAAACAAAAGACAAAAAACAAAAAAAAAGGCATTGGGATATTCACATCTCAGTTTCATTTCTCTGCACCCTACTCACATCAAAGTTAAGCATTAAGCGCAAATACCGTCTCCAACGCCTACAATACACGCAAATATAACACTCAACTAAACAAATCCTTTGTTTAATCTAGTTAGAATCAGCTATACGGGGGTGGATTGACTGGAATCCTCCATTCAAATCATTTAGAGCACACAAAATAGTTTTTTCATCCAAAAATGATAGGTTTAATTGCTGAACCGCAGAAATCCAGTAGATATACTATTGGAGGTGAGAATGTTCGAACCTGAGATGATAAATGGAAACGGATTAGCGGAAGAGAGCGGCGAGAATGAGAGCAGCTCAGACTAGCAAAGGCAAGGCGGTAGAACAGAAAGTGACTGCGAAATTTGAATGCTTTTACGGGTTCCCTCGCTAAGATCACCCGAGTTGCTCACTTGCTTTAGTACAACTTCTTTTTGGGACCCCATAGGAACATCCGAACATTTTATAGTGTTTTCTCATTAATATACTTAGATTGAGATCATCTTGATTTTTCTAGTGCATTTTATATTTATAATATTATTTATTTATATTTCTAAAATAATTTGTGGACTATTTTACAAAAATGATTTTATCACAGCTTCACAATTTCGCGTAGTAGCAACATGTTTCTCTCTATAAAAAAACAACAAAAACATTATATAGTGTTTGGTTATAAATAAATTTTGAATGAAAAACAAAACAATTATATTTTTTTCAAAAAAAAAAAAAGGCAAACATTATAAAAAAAATCAATAATGATTAGGCCATAAGATTTCGTAGCAAAGACTAAATTTTAAAACTTTTCTAAAGTTGGCAATTAATTGAAGTAATTGTCTTTTCATTAGGTAACTTCAAATCAAAATTTAAGTAAAATACTATGCATTTAATAATTTCTTACCAAAAAATTTTTACAGATCAATTTATTTTAAAAAAAAAAAAACATTTAAATTTGAAAAGCAAAAATCGAATTTGTATTTATTTGTAATTCTCTTTTTGCAAGTTTAGAGCCTTAGAGTTAGAGGTGCATACAAGTCATTAATTTGCAAGCCATTTGGTGAGTGAGAACAAATTTTATTTTATTTTATTGTCAAAAATGTTGAATAATCTTATATGTTTATTCGAAGTAACTATTAACTCTAAATTAAGAATAAAAATATAGTGACAAATTTATAAGAATAGAAAATTTCAAACATACACTAAACACAAGTTCAAATTGTATCCAATAATGTGTTTTTTGCTTTTGACCCAAGGCATTTGATGTGCATTGATAAGATAATGCTGGTTGCATCAGGCTAAAGACGTTAAACATGCTTCTTGGAAAACAACCCAAGATTTTTTGTTTAATTGCAATACTGCCATTTTTTAAAATCAAAATATTTATTTTTAAAAAAAAGCATTTATTTACTTTTTTTTTTTGAAAAAAAAAATATTATTGACAAATAGTCAAATATAACTCAATTCAAACCAATCAAAAAAATCTTGAACTTTATAAAAATTAATTGAGCTAAACTTAAACTCAAAATTTTAAGCTCGGGCTCAAATCAAAGTCATTATAACTATTTCAAGCTTAAACTCGAGCATCCCTAAATCCAAGTTCGGCTGTTTGCACTCTATATAGATTTCATGAAACAAAATTTACAAACACTATCTTGTTGACACTTCAAATTGGCAACAACATTGTTTTCACTTGATAGTTTCACAAGCAACATGTGAATATAAGTATATAAGGTCTCTGGTTCTCACATCAAATTCACAATTAACCTCAACATTAGAGGCCAGAAGAGTTTTAAAATGTGATACCACAGTAACCAGACCAAATACAATAAAGCATTAAGCTTATTAAGTTACAGGTAAAGAATAATCACAAGATATCAAAACTTGAACAGTATGACTGATTCTGGTTGCGAATCGCATTTGACTTATTTTCGGGTGGAATTTGAATAAAAATGGTTAAATGGGAGCTTTTGCCAAACATACGAAGTACTTTTGATAGCTAGCTTCAGTATCTGTGAGCTAACTTCTCCTTTTCCTGGTATTGCTGCACATATCTGCATGCAGAAATAAGTAAGAAGATTAGTGCCTCATGCATAAATGAGAAAAAAGATTGGCACCTCGTGCATAAACGAAAAAAAAAAAAGATTGGTGCGATGCATAAACAAGAAGCTAAAGATCTAGGAGGTCATGATTCGCATGAACAGCAGATACCATCTACTTCACAATATGTTGTCCAGAATAGCAGCATTTCCAGAAAAGAGGAAGCAGTCGAGCAGAAACAATGAAAGTAAATACTCGTGCAAGCTAAACCCTACCCATCCACAATCAAAATAAAGCCTATTGCACATAAATACCAAGAGCAAAAGCAGTCAATGATATTGATTCTGATTCGAAAAAAGCATAAGATGAAATTGAATACTTCATGTAGGAGTAGGGGTGTGGGCGAATCAAACTACTAATGAACTACGCAAGCTGGATTTGATGAATATTTGAATTTGATTCAGCTGAGTTGAGCTCGGATATTCAAGTAACAAAGTGAGTCAAATTGGGCATTTTAATACTCGTATCAATAGTATTGACAAAGTTAATTTATTATATATGATCTACGTATTTAAAATATATTAATAGAGAATAATCTATCCACTTTTATATCTTATAAAAAAAGAAGAATAAACCATAATATGGAGTATTGTTTCTGAAATTCTGCCCCACAAAAACAAGAATAATTAACAGAATAGATTGAAGAAAATATTATTTGTATGGATGCATAAATATATGGATTGCTTCATTTAAAAAATGGGTAAAAGAAAAATATTTTTTTTGAGTACTTCAGACTCTATCTGTTCATAACTACCTGTTCATAACTACTTTCTCAACCTACTCAAGCACAAAGAGTCTATATTGCCCACGGTGGGGATCGAAAATGATTTTATTAGCATACCTAGAAAATGATTTACACTCATAAAACTTTTTGAGCTCAATTCAGTCCATAATTTTCAAACACATTGTGAGGGCATTTAAATAAATTAAATAACATAACCCAAAATATAACCCTCAACTAAATGTTAACCTTACATTCCCACAATCTCAACTAAACACATCAGGTAATCATAGATTCCTATTATCTCACACTACCTAGGACGGTAATCATATTACCTAGGTTAATCTTACATTCCACAAATTAAAGCCACCTAGATCAATCAGCTACAGTATAACTCAATTGATATTGAAACTACAGGTTAGAGACTTAGAGCTAGCCTGTTTTGTACACACACTTAAATACCCATCAGGCATAGCAAAATTGAGGCAATTAATATATCATCAGAACAATCGTGATACCATCAGGTTTTAAAATCTTGTCACTTCATAGCAACTGCTAACCCCCAAATCTTATCAAATCAACAAATTAGGGTGTTCAAACATCATCTCAGCAATAAATTATTGATCCCAGAATTTGACGTAAGTTAGCATTCATTCATTAAGGACTTTCAATCAATCGCATGCTAAAGAATTGCACAGGTATACGTAGTCCGAAGAACCGAAAAATAACATAATCTACGCAAAAATCCGGAATTTTCTATATGAGGAATTCAAAATAGCACGAGAAGACAAAGTGTAGTACGTACGTGTAGACGCCGACGAGAGGACCGAGGAGGAGGGAGGCGCTGATCCAGTTCTCGGAGACCTTGTGGTTGATCTTACCGGGAAGGTCCTTCCAAAGTCCAGGCATCACCTTCTGCTGGAACGGCGATAGCGCGTAAACAACAGCCTTCAACCTCACTGGCTGCTTCCCCATATCCTCAAACTGCAATCTCTTCTTCTTCTTCTTCTTCTTTGGGTTGCGCGGTGTGCTAGGGCTTCAGATCGTTGAGAAGAAAATGGAAGGTTCTCATCGCCTACGAATATGAACAGAACAGATGAAGTAGCCACCGCTGAGGAAATCTTCCATAGGACTCGGTCCTCCGCAAGTCCGTAGCCCGTAGGGGTGTTGGGCTCTATTTCATGGGTTCGTTCAATTTACCCAATCTTCTCTTCGGAGCGTTATGCTGTGGATCCGCGTCTACCATGTACAAGGTGGACACGCTGTACATTCATAATTCTTATACTGTAAATTTATAAAATGTATAATGTATATTCATAATTTCTATGCTGCACATTCATATTTTTTGTACTGTAGATTTATAAATTCTATACTGCACATTTATAATTTCTGTACTGTAGTTTCATAATTTCTATACTGTAGATTCATAAAACTTATAATGTATAGAAATTATGAATGTGCAATATAGAAATTATGAATCTACATTATAAATTTTATGAATCTACAATTTAGAAATTATGAATCTACAGTATATAAATTATGAATCTGCAGTATAAAAATTATGAATGTACTGCGTGTCACCATGCACATGGTGAACACAGGTTCATAGCATAATTTGCCCTTCTCCTTCACTACATGAAAGCAGTTGTTATCAATAGTTATTGCATGGACTGCACAGTCCAAAAACGATATCGTCTTGCTTAATCTTTTTAACGCAATCTGTTGCTACATACATTTTTATAACGTATAATGTACATTATTTTAAAGCATAATGTATATTATTTTATAACATAATGTAAATTACATTATCTCTGAAGCTTCATTATTTCTAACATGTACATTATTATAACACATAATATACATTTTCTCAACACAAATTATTTTTAGTCATAATATTCGTGACGTTGTTTTAGATCGTGGTCCACACAATTGTGTAGACCACGGTCCACACAATAATTTGCCATTTGTTATACCATGGATCAATATTAGAAAACATCTACAATATAAATTGTGTTTTTTTAAGTTTTGAAAATTTGTGGATACAATACCACGTTATCACAAATTGTGAAATTTTAAAATATAAATTATGAACATTTAGTATATAAATTGTGTATCTTTAGATTCGAGTCCACACCAGGACTATATGGTCTAATGGTATCCGGGTTGGACTTCCATTTGGAAGGTTGTAAGTTTGAGCCTCAGTGGAGGCGTTATTGGCTCTTTGTGTTTCAGTAGGTTGAGAAAGTATATGAACAGATACTATAATGTAATAGAGCTAGTAGCATTCAAAAAAAAAAAAAGATTCGAGTCCACAAAATAATTTGTCACATGGAAAGTGCTGCCCGCACGAGCCTAACTCAGTTGAGGATTATGCCCAAAAGTGCATATACTGCCCGCACGAGCCTAACTCATACTATAATGTAATAGAGCTAGTAGCATTCAAAAAAAAAAAGATTCGAGTCCACAAAATAATTTGTCACATGGAAAGTGCATATACTGCCCGCACGAGCCTAACTCAGTTGAGGATTATGCCCAAAAGTGCATATACTGCCCGCACGAGCCTAACTCATACTATAATGTAATAGAGCTAGTAGCATTCAAAAAAAAAAAGATTCGAGTCCACAAAATAATTTGTCACATGGAAAGTGCATATACTGCCCGCACGAGCCTAACTCAGTTGTGAGAATAGACCAGGGCGATAGTGTGAGGATTATGCCCAAAAGTGCATATACTGCCCGCACGAGCCTAACTCAGTTGTGAGAATAGACCAGGGCGATAGTGTGAGGATTATGCCCAAAGTAAACAGATTCTTCATGGACACTTGCGTTTGGTCATGTCTGCTGAGCCATTGATTCACTGTGAATGCTCTGTCCGAACGGATCATGGATTTAACATTTTAGGAGAAAAATGTGAACACACTATTTTACAAATCTCTCTCTCTCTCTCTCTCTCTCACACACACACACACACACACACACACACACACACACACACACACACACACACACACACACACATATATATATATATATATATATAATGCGATTTCAGTTTCGGACTAATTTTAATTTCGCAAGACCACACCCCTAAAAGTATTGTAAAAATAAATTGTAAATCTAGCAATTAGCCTACTAGTCAACCCTAGTCTTTATATGTTCATATAAAATTCAATTCACACATTTCATCATCCTCAATCTTTTCTCCATTCATATTTTCAATAGAATTTAAACTCTCACGTTGCTGTCTTTAATCGTAACTTTAAGTGAAACAATGAACCCTTTTTGAAGCAGTGGCGATTCGCGAGTCACTATCCTGGCTCAAATCCCTTAACGTTGACAACTTTATCATTGAGTCCGATTCCTTACAAGTCATTCGGAGTTTCAATTATGAGATTGGAGTTTCATCCTTTCATTTGATTTTAGCTGATATCAAAAACTTAATGAGTAGTTTTGCTCATTGTAATTTATGTTCCGTTAGGCGATCTGCGAATCAGGCAGCCCACTTGTTAACAAGGTAGTCTGTTTCTTTGTCTAATTACTCGGAGTGGTTCACAACCATCTTCCTATCATTTGTAACTCTTTTCATTTGGATTCAATTTAATGCAATGGTCGGTTTGTTTTCAAAAAAAAAAAAAAAAAAAAAAAAAAAAAAAAACTCCCAAGAAGTGCAATCATCTCTTTCAATGTAGGAGTAGAGGTGCCCCTCACCCTTTCCTTTGAAGATTTGATTTCGTATGGCAGAAGTTCCTATGTTTCCAGCTGACATCTGATAAGTGGTCACCACCATCGGTCAACTCTCCAGCTGACATGTACACCTACCATTGGCTGCCATTCAAGAGGTTAATGCACGGTCGGTGGCACCCCATTTACACACCCTGCTCAAATTTCTGTATGGTTAGTTGATTACCATTTATATTCCCCTCTTATTTATTACTCCAACATTACTCTCTTGAATTACCCGTTACAATCGCCAACCTGGTTTCTACTATTGCCCACCAAAAGTCACATACATTAGCCCGACATAATAATAAATACTCTCTCTATTCTATACTTTCATTTTATCTGTTACATTTACTATTCATTGTGTCTGCATAGATAACTCAGTTGGTCACATAAAATAAAGTTTGGAAACAATGATTTGGGATAAGTCTCAGTGTGAGAGTGAGGAAAGTTCCTTGTGTGCAGCAAACAAATATAATGTCTAATCTCTGTGTCCTTCCCAGATGCCGGCCCTTGAAGTTAGGGATTCAAAATGAGACCGTGAGAGTAATAAATTACAGTAACTCAGCAGTCCATTAGTTGAAAGGACCAGTTTCGGGAACCATAATAAATTTATTACATTGAATGTAACTCACACACTGCAACTAAATTCCATATCATTTTCATAATCTAGTACTCAAGAACCAAGTGAACTGCCACACGAGTAACTATTACTACTATTCCACTTGAGGCTGCAGCTACTTCCACTTCTCCCTCCTTCAATCCCAGTTGAAAACAAGGTTTTTTTTTTTTTTTTTTTTTTTTTTTTTTCTTAATTATGATTTGTTGTTTATGGGTTCGGAGTGAAGATTACAACGTAATCTTTACAAATTCCCTGTATGTTGTCACATGAAAAAACAACATGAGTGTTTTCAGGTGCTACCCTTGCTTAGATCTTGAATCTATGGTTTTTCCGATCGCGTTTGCTGTAATGATTCTTGTTTTTCCGGTGGGTGAAGCAGCGGAGCTGTCGGCGCGCTCGCTCGACGCACTGCTTCAAGAACGGGCGTTCCGGGCACTTGTTAGGCCGAAAACCGGCGTTCCATACGCCGGGAAAGTGCCGGCCGGCCTGGCCGGAATTGGGGTTTCGGCGTTGAGGCTGAGGAGTGGGAGCATGCGGCGGAAAGGTTTCGGGAATTTCAAGGAATTTACCGTTCCGGTCGGAGTGGTGGCGCAGCCGTACGTGGAGAGGCTGGTTCTGGTTTACCACAATTTAGGAAACTGGTCCGATGTTTATTACCCTCTGCCGGAAGGTTACGTCCATTTGACGCCGGTGTTAGGCCTCCTGGCCTACGACGCCGCCAATCTGTCGGCTTCGGAGCTGCCGGAGCTCGAGCTCCGGGCGTCGGAGAATCCGATGCTGATCAAATTCTCATCGCTGAAACCGCCGCCCACGGCGGCGGAAACGGCGGCGACGGGAACAATGTCAGCCAAATGCGTGTTCTTTGATCTGCACGGATCTTTGGAGTTCGACAACGTGGTCGACGGGAACATATGCAGAGGGACAAAACACGGCCATTTTTCCATAATCCTCGAGTTTACAGTTCCGGTGCCAGCTCCGGCGGTGGCGGCTACCGGAGAAGACAACACAAACAAGAAGGAAAATAAAAAGGGGGATAATAAAATCCTATGGGTGACGTTCGGGACAGTGATTGGAGCAGTTGTGATGGCGATTTTCTTGATCTTCATTTTCGTGTGTACGAGGAAAAATAGGCGGCAGGAGAGGATACATAGAATGGAAGAGGCGTCGGAACGCGGCGTGCCGCTGCCGATGGCAACTGTCGGCCACACTCGTGCCCCCGTGGCTTCCAAGACTCGGACCAAGCCATTGTTAGAGAGTGAATATGTTGTTTAATTATAGTCGAGTGCAGGGCCGGATTTTAGGCTGTGCAAGCTGGGCTACCGCACAGGGCCCCCAATTTTAGGGGGCCCCAAATTTTAGAGGTTCAATATTTAATTTTTACCTAGCTAATTTAGAAATAAAAATAAAAAGTTTTCAATTAAATTTAAAAGGTTTTATGAAGAGATGGTAAGAATTTGTATTTATTATATTTTAACTTGGAGGTCAAAGGTTCGAAACTTGCATGTATTGGTTTTAAAAATTGTTATTTTGGTAGGGCCACATTTATTTACCAGAACAGGGCCACAAAAACTTAAAATACGGCCCTGGTCGAGTGGATAAAACATGATTCTTATCATTTTTATTAGTGAATATGTGTCTAAATTTGGCATTATTAGAAGGGTGAATCACATAACATGATTTCATCTGTGTTTAATGTAAGATGTATGTTTCTGACCATTAATATTAAGAAGATTCTTTGACAAGTGTAAATATTGGCTGTCTGGTGCATTCAGCTGCTTATATCTAGAAGTGGAAATTATGGAATCCAGTTGTTGGTCGATATTTAGAGTTTCATGTGGCCATGTCCCATTGCCTCATATATTTATGGGCTGCAGTAAAATTTTGTAGGTGTCCTGAGCAAGATCTAATTGTAGGAGACACCTTTAAGTTTTTATTATATTTAGATTGATCTTAATGCATACTGGATTGACTCAAATAAGGGACAAAATGCTGATCAGATTAACCTTTTCATACAAGAAAGGGTTCGAACTCCCAACATCTCTTAAGGGATGAATTGTAGTCAAATTTCTTTCACACAAAACCTAAGAAATTCTCTTGCCCTGGCCTTAAGTATCATACCTCCGCTCGGACAAGATATTGCATGGATAAATTGTTGTGGCTCAACAAGCCATTAAGTTGGGAGTTCTAATACATATACCAAGGTAATTAATCTGTCTCTCATCTGTTTGTGGACTGTGAGTACGCGAAGGCTTGCTGGAATTTTCTGGGAATAAATTTTCAGGATTTGTCGTTCCTCTCAATCCGAATGGGAAAACTCGATCTTCAAAGACTTTTCGACTTACTTCATCGGAACATTAAAAGGGCTTGTTACTTCATCGAATTTACAAAGAAATTTCAGAAAAATGTAAAAGAAAAGTTGACATTTATATTTCAAGATTACAAAGGTAAGCACAAATCAATAACTTACAAAAACTAAAAAAATTAACATAAAGTTTGTTTCTTTTCTTTTCTAAAATCCTATTCCTTTCCGCAAGTGCAAGTGCATGGTGAAATTGGAGTGGAAAATAAACCAATACTAGAGGTCCCGAAAGGCCTATTGCCCAAGGCTTGATGATCCTCCCATCTTTGGCATAACAGTGGATTATGGGTATTGGCAACAAATGGATGATTGAGTAGCTTATCAGCAGTCCATCTAACGTTTGGGTTTCTTTCGAAACACTTCATCAAAAAATCCTTGGCATGATCAGATATGCCGGTTGGGATTTGGGGTTGCTTGGAGGCCATGTCTTGAACTAACTTATCGTCGTCACCGTTACAAAACCTCCAAGGTGATTCCCCGGCCATCATCTCTGCCACCATGCACCCTATGGCCCATATATCCTTAGGCGCCTCATGCATGCCGCAAAACAAAGATTCCGGGGAGGTGTAGAGTAAAGCTCCCTGGTGACCTCCCTCTCCGGCGACCTTAGATAGACGAAAATCGCCTATCTTGAGCTTATTGAAGCCGCAGCCGCACCTGCATGGGAAGATAAGAATGTTGTTGGGCTTCAAATCGCAGTGGACAAACCCGTGACGATGCACCTCTAAGATTCCCTTCAAAAGTTGATAAGCATATAGTGAAGCCTCGTCCCCCGGGATGAATCCTTCCCTGGAATTCATCAATCTCTTGAGTGTTCCACCGAGAGCGTACTCCAGCAGAAGATTGTACACAGTGTTTCCATGCTCTATGCTCGTATCCTCTCCTAAACACTGAATTATATACGGACATCTTTGCAACTTTCTCAAGATTTGCGCTTCTCTCCAAAGTGAACCTGAAAACTCGACCTTCGAAGATTTTACGGTTAACTTCATTGGAACACTAAAAGTAGGTGGATTATAATATTGAGAGAGAAACACAATGCCATGAGCTCCCCCACCAAGGAGTTCCAACTTTTCGCAAGGCATACTGATGATGAGTACTAAGGTTCGTATATAGTAAGATTGATGATGATGAATTGGAATTGATGACCACCAAGTGTTGGGTATCGAAGTATTATATAAGACTTGGGATAATCTCAGTCCAACTAAGTTTAGTATTGGAATAACCTCTCAATCCAATTATGTATAGTATTAGAAAACTTTTTTTAATAGAAAATTATATAATAATCCCAGTTAAATTCAGAATATAATTAAGAAACAGATTGGAACTCAAGTAATTAGGAAAGTTAAGAATATTCTAGACTAGAAAATTAGGAAAAAAATTAATTAACTAAGGGTCCGTTTGGAAAGCAGGAAAATGACTTCTGGAAAATGTTTTCTGGAAAATGAGTCATTTTCCGGAAAACATTTTCCTTTCCAGTGTTTGGTTGCATCATGGAAAACTGTTTTTCTGTGTTTGGTTCATTTTCTGGAAAATGAGTAGAATTGTATAATTAAACATTTTAATTATTTTATTTAGAATATGACAACATGTATAATAATATATAATAATATAATATTAATTTTAAATATAATAAAAATAGCTAAGTTTTTCAAATAATAATTGATGGGGAATATACACCGGCCATACGAGTCGACCTTCTGACCCGGCCGTCCTGCCCGGTCGTGTACGCAAACGGGCACTTGCCCGTTTGCCCGATCAGTCCCTTAGCAGGGGCGCCTCCGGAAGGCCCCCGAGCTCTCGACCGGAAACCGGGATGTATAGCCGCCCGGGATATGAGCCTGACAGCAGCAGAAGCCTCGCACCACGTGTACGGTCGCATGCCTGCCTCTCCTCCACCCGGTGCATGCGCGCCACGTGTCCGACATGCCGGGGGACCGGGCGCAGCTCCCTAGGACCCTTATAAATACTGCATTAAATGCTAGAGAGAAGGACTTTTGGATTAGGTGACTTACTAGATTAGAGAGGATCCCGGTCATCATATACGATCGGTCTGTCTGTAACTCTATTGTAAGCTACACGTATCAGTACACAGCTATTTTATCCACATCATTTGGCGCCGTCTGTGGGGACTGGTACAAAATCCGTGCGTTACTACCGATCCCCCTCACATGTATCCCTTCATGGACTTCCTCAACGCCGGCGGGGACGCCGACGACACCCAGCCTGACCTACGGGCCCATCTGAATGCCCGGATGGACCTGAACCAGCCGCCAGAAGGAGCATTCCAGCCTCCGGAGCCGGTCAGCATGGGACCAACGGAAGCCGCTTACAGGGATATCCCGATGCAAGCTACGTATCAAGCCCCGGGATTCTTCCCGGGGATTATGGACCCGGCGTACCAGTGGTGGGCCAACGCTCCGCGTTTTTACCCCCGGCATACCCGCAACCGCAGATGCCCGGGGTATACCCTCCGCAAATGTACAGCCCAGTCCACAACTACCGGATCGTTCCCCCTGCCTTCGGCCCGGGGGCGAGCGAGCATGACGGGGCACAGTCATACCAAGGACCGCCGAACGCCCCTCCCGAGGCCCCGCAGACCCAGCGCCGCCCGGCCCGCTCACGCCTCGGTTCGATCGACCGTTCAGCAGAACATGCTCCCCGAACAAGTGCCTTTGACAGGCTGCAGCCGACAGGTTCCCCCCGGCGGAATCGTCCGGGCGGTAGAAGGGCGTCCCTCGACAGGTCGGCATCCAGCCGCGGCGCGGACTCAGACGAAGTGAGCTCTTCCCGGAGTCACCACCGTCGCGACACCCAGCTGAATACGACGGCCGGCGTCCCGCGCGAGGTCATGGAACAGGTCCGACAGGAGTTCAACCGCTGGAAGCAGGAACAAACGGCACAAGTCCCGAGTATCGACACCGCGCTATTGCGAACGCCGTTCTCCAGTGAAATCATGCAGCAGCAGTACCCGATCGACCTCCGGGTCCCGGGGGCAAGGGAATATTTGGGAAAAACGGACCCAGAAGAGCACGTCAACTCCTTCTACGGAAACATGATAATGCTGGGCGTTCCCGACGCTGTCATCTGCCGTGCGTTCTTTTCAACGCTCTCGGGAAGAGCAGCCGAGTGGTTCAAGTCCCTTGAACCGGGCTCCATAACGTGCTTTGCCGACTTATCAACCAAATTTATCCGACGCTTCGCAACGTCTCGGACCGTTCGGAAGCACTTCACGCACCTTGAAGCCGCCAAGCAGCTAGAAGGAGAATCGTTAACCGACTTCCTGGTCAAATGGAAGAATGCCATCGGCGAAGTCGAGCCAATGGACGACAGGACAACCATCAACGTCCTACACTGCTCCCTACGAGCGGGGACCCTGTATCAGGACTTCATAGTCCACCCGCCACAATCGTACGACGAAGCCATTCGTAGAGTCACCGACTACGCGAACGCAATGGAGGCAAATTCCGCAAAGCGACGCCAAGAGACGGGATCCACCCGGCGAGACACTCGCCCCGACCAGAAGCGCGGAGACCGTCAACAAGCCCCCCGGGACCTGTCCAGGCTCACCCGCCCGGTAACGGAGGTCCTCGATTATGCCCAAGGTTGCAATCTGATCCAGCTACCCGAGCCCGGGCGGGACGGCCGGGACACCTCCAAGTTTTGCGCATACCACCGCAATCGGGGGCACACCACGGACGAGTGTCGGGTCCTGAAGGAGGTGATCGAAGACCTCCTCAAGGAGGGTGAGCTGACCCAGTTCACCGAAAAGAAGGACAAGGGGAAGAGATGGAAGAAGTTCTTCAAACGATCCAGCCGGGACAAGAAGGACAAGGACCAGGATCCCGAAGGAGAATCCCGCCCCAGTGGCTCCAAGCAGGTGATACACGTGATTTTCGGCGGCCTGGAGGGCGGTGACAGTACAGAGGAGCGGCATAGGTGGAGCCAAAGCCTACACGCCGGACTAGTGGACGAAGCTCGACCGGATAAGCGATCAAAAGCCGAACCCATCGCCTTCACGGACGATGACCTGCCCCGGAATACTGACCATGGGACCGAAGCCCTGATTGTCACGCTCGACATAAGCGGCGTGGATGTTCGAAGAGTGATGGTAGACACCGGCAGTAGCGTGAACGTCCTGTACTTAGACGTTTTCAAGAAGTTGAAGCTTGACGAGAAGAAGCTGACCCCGGCCCGCACCCAGTTATCTGGCTTCACGGGGGCCACTATCGAACCGGAGGGTATGATCCGATTGCCTGTCGAGGTAGGAACTTACCCCAGGGTGTCAAAAGCAGACATGGAATTCATCGTGGTAAACCTCGCCTGCGTCCACAACGTGATCTTGGGCCGACCGGGAATCGCACAAATCGGAGCGATCATCTCGATGCCGCACCTGTGTATGAAGTTCCAAACGCCGGCCGGGGTCGGCGTGCTGAGGGGTGACATCCGGTCAGCCCGGAAGTGCTACGTCAAGGCGGTCCAAAGGAGTGAAGCTGGTTCATCCAGAGTTAATGCCATAGCAGGCGAGAACAGGCCCTCGGCTAAGGAGCAGCCCGAGCCAGCGGAGGAGGTCGAAGAAATCCGGTTATCAGACCAGTTCCCCGAGAGGACCGTCCGTATAGGCGCAGCCCTAACGGCCGACCTGAGAAGTTCAATCATAGAGGTCCTGAGGGAGTATGCGGACATCTTTGCTTGGGGACCACAAGACATGCCCGGAATATCCCGGTCCACAATATGCCACTGCTTGACGGTGGACCCCGCCGTACGACCGGTCAAACAGAAGCAGCGACATCTATCGATCGACAGAAGAGATTTCGTCCGGCAGGAGGTCAAAACGCTGAATTCAATCGGGCATATCAGGGGAGTCTCCTACCCGAACTGGGTAGCCAACGTGGTTCTAGTTCCTAAACCGCCGACGTGGCGCATGTGCATCGACTACACAGACCTCAACCGGGCGTGCCCGCTTGACCCTTACCCCCTGCCAAGCATCCACCAAATGGTTGATGAGACCGCGGGATCCGAACTTATGAGTTTCATGGACGCCTTTAAAGGTTACCACCAGATCATGATGGCGGAAGAAGACGAGGCGAAAACATCCTTCGTCACACCGGACGGCCTGTATTGCTACAAGGTGATGCCCTTCGGCCTGCGCAATGCCGGGGCTACCTACCAGAGGATGATCAACATGCTGTTCGAAGACCTGCTCGGCAAGACCATGGAGGCCTACATAGATGACATGCTCGTCAAGAGTCTCAGCCGGGAAGACCACGCCGGCGACCTCCGGTCTTATTTTGAAATTCTGCGTCACCATCGGATGAGGCTCAACCCGGCCAAATGCACGTTCGCGGTTTAGACCGGGAAGTTTTTAGGCTTCATGATGACAAAAAGGGGCATCGAACCGAATCCAGCCAAGGTCAAGGCGATATTGGACATGCAACCTCCCGCTACAATCCGGGAGGTACAGCAGCTGACCGGGAGACTAGCCGCACTCAGCCGTTTCCTCTCTAAACTCGCTGAGCGGGCGTTGCCCTTCTTCAAAACGTTGAGGAAGATAAGCGCCTTCAAGTGGGATCAGGAATGCCAGGACGCGTTCGAGCAACTGAAGGAGTATCTCATGTCCCCGGTTGTGCTATCGAAACCAGAGCCCGGTGAAGACCTGGACGTCTACTTGGGGGCGTCTGACCGAGCGGTCAACGCGGTCCTTTGCCGAACTGACGAGAACAACATCCAGAGACCAGTGTATTACGTCAGCCACGCCCTGAACGGGGCGGAAACGAGGTACTCCAGGTTGGAAAAGGTCGTGTTTGCCCTGTACATGGCTGCCAAAAAGCTCACCCCGTACTTTCAAGGCCGAACAGTCCGAGTACTCACTGACCAACCCATCGGGTCTGTCCTCCGGAGCTCCAGCTCATCCGGCCGACTAGTCAAGTGGGCCTTAATGCTAACGCAGTTCGCCCTAGAATACAAACCCCGACCGGCGATCAAAGGCCAGGCGCTAGCAGACTTCGTAGTGGAATGTACGGCCAGGGAAGCTAGCACGATGATACAGCCGGGCCCGGACGACACGTGGTGGGAACTGGCAACCGACGGCTCAAGCAACAAAAGAGGAGCGGGCGGAGGTGTAGTCATCACTAGCCCAGAGGGATTCAAGTTGTACCACGCCCTGATCTTTTCTTTCTCCTCCACCAACAACGAGGCCGAATACGAAGCGTTCATCGCCGGCCTCCGATATGTCAAGAAGCTCGGGGCACAGTACGTCCGGGCTAGAATGGACTCCGCTTTGGTGGTCGGGCAAGTTCTAGGAAACTTCGAAGCAAACGGAGACCGGCTGGTGCAGTATAGGAACCAGGAGTTGGCGATCCTTGCGGAGTTCGAAGGCCACACGGTCGAGCACGTCCCCCGGGCGGATAATGTGGACGCGAACGTCCTATCCAAACTCGCTCAAGAAGCCCCCGAGCACATTTCCAGAATAGCCCGAATTGAAGAAATGACCCATGCCGCCATTGACGCCCTGGAAGTCGCCCCGGTAGCCCCGACGGAAGAAGATTGGATCGCAGACCTGATGCGATACTTAACCGACAACCGACTCCCCGACGACACAGAAAGAGCCAGAAAGGTTAAGCTGAGAGCGCCCCGTTTCCAGGTGGTGGACGGCCGCCTTTACCGGCGATCATACGGCGGCCCGCTGATGAGGTGCCTCAACGGATTCGAGGCCGATCTAGTAATGACCGAGCTCCACTCGGGGATTTGCTTGGCGCACCAGGGCGGCAAGGCTTTGGCAAGAAGGATTATGCTCATAGGGTACTACTGGCCATCAATACAACTCGACTGCAAGAGGGTGGCCCGGGAGTGCGAGGCGTGCTGACCGGCGATTGGGGGACTGTCAAACGGCTCAGGGCCGGGATCGGGCACCTCGGCGGGCAGAACTCCTAAGACCAGGGCCAGATCGTCGTCCTCGAGCGACTGGGCCAGAGCGTCCCGGTCCTCCTTTTGAGGCCGTCGACGCTTGGTCGCGAGCCCGGATCCGTTCCGGTCTCGTCGAGTTGGTGGTACACTCGAAAGTGGCCATTGACGCTTGGCCGCGAGCCCGGATCCGTTCCGGTCTCGTGGAGTTGGTGGTACACTCGGAAGTGGCCATCGACATTTGGCTGCGAGCCCGGATCCATCCCGGCCTCGTCAAGGCGGTGTTACACCCGAACGCGAGCCCGGGTCCGTCCCGGCCTCGTCAAGTTGGTGGTAAGCACTAGGGATAAAGGGGATACTAGAAATAACAGAAAAGCAGTTTAAAAAGTTTTTGTTGACCCGACACAAAGGGGTCGGGCTCCCTGGAAGTTGGCCCGGCACAAATGCGGGGCCGGGCTCCCGCTCTAGTAGTCTAGGCTTCGGGCGGAGCCTGCGAGTACGACTCGTTGGAAGAAGGCTGACCGGCGATTGGGGGACTGTCAAATGGCTCAGGGCCGGGATCGGGCACCTCGGCGGGCAGAACTCCTAAGACCAGGGTCAGATCGTCGTCCTCGAGCGACTGGGCCAGAGCGTCCCGGTCCTCCTTTTGAGCCCGGCGCTGGCCAGAGCTAAAGGCCCACTTGGCCAGGGTCCAAGCCAGCTCTTCGCCGACCGGGTTCTTCAGAAAGTGGCGGAAAAAAGCCTCGCTTTCGGCCCGGTCGCGACATACCCGGGCAGCAAGCTCCTCCGGGTTGTCCAGCAGTTTCTGGGCTTCCGTCGCCCGGTTCTTCGCCTTGGCCAGCCGATCGTTGGCAGATCGTAATTTCCGGCGCGCCTCCTTGGCCTCCTTCTCGTGACGTTCGGCGGCCTTCTGGATGGCTTCGGCATCTTCCGTCGCTTTTGCCCGGCGGAACAGAGTCACCAGGGTGCGAGTCATCTGCAATGGAAAGGCTAGTAAGTTTTGGTGAACGGTCGGCGGGAGAAAATGAAGGGGGAATCGAGGCCCATACCTGCATGACGTCGGCCGCTCCCTGCTCCCCGATCTCATTTAACGTCTGCACCTTCCCGTCATCCCCGGCCGGGATAATGTCGATCAGTCGGTTGAGCTTGGCCGCGGGATGCTCCTCGCTCAGCAGGACATTAATGACGGGGGTCTCGGCGGAAGGGCTGGCCCGCCTGCTGCGCTTCAGAAGATGAACGTCCTCCGCATCGTCGTCCATCTCCCTCTCCTTTCCTTTCCGGGTGCTGGTCCGGATGACTTGCAAGTCCGGCTCGGAGTCGACGGGGTGGGTCGAGGTGACGCCGAGGGGAAGACCGGTAGGAACCGCCGAAGAGGGACCGACCGCAACATTCTTTTTGCCCCCAAGCGCAATCTTAGGCCGGGGACCGGTCGCAGGTGCTGGTGCGGCGATGAAAGCCTTGTCGAAACCCATATCTGAAAAAGAAAGGCAAAAGGTCAGATGATCGGCCGATTGAGACCGGGCAAAAGAAACGTGCGCAAATAAGATGCGAAACCTCCGGGCATGGCCGAAGGAGGAGGAGGCGGCCGGGCAATAGTGATCTGAATCCGCCTAGGCTCGTACTTTCCCGGAAGATCGTACCGGGGGGGCTCGAGGCGGGCCGCGTTAAACGCCTCGGGAGTCTTGTAGGTGTGGTAATCGTAGAACTCGGACGAAATTTTTGCAGCGGCATCGGCAAGCTCGGGGGTCTCGTCCGGAGTAACCTGCTCCAGGTAATGGCTAGGCCATTCCCGCGGGACCGGCAGGTCCCAGACGTACTTGACAGAGAACAACCTTTTCTTCCACCCGCGGTTGTTGTCCGGTAGACCGAGTATCTTGCACCGGTGCCCGTGCGATTGAGTTTGGAGGAACCCGGACCCGTACCGAGGAGCTAGCGGCCGTACCGAGTAGATGTAGTCGAACAACTCCATCGTGCAGTCGAGATCGTGCCGAGCGCAGACCTGCGGGAAGCACACAATGATGCGATAGGCGTTTGGGGTGATCTGCCCGGGGAAGACCCCGTAGTGCTTGAGGAACATAAGCAGGAACGGGAAGGTCAACGGAGCCCTCAGAGAGTCGAAGTGGAGCCCGAGCCACCTCCTTGTGGTCCGATCGGCGATGTTACCAAGCGCCCGGTCGACGTTGATGACGACCTTCCCGCCCGTTAAGGCGTTGATCTCCTTCGCGTCGGCCCGGCTGAGGTTGCTCATTTGCCGTCGGATGGATTCGTTGTTCAGAAAAACCAACTTTCGACCGGAGGTGGACGCAGCGGGGGCAGAGATTGGCGCTGGGGCCGGGTCTCGGAGATTCTCGGCAAGGCGATCGCGTGAAGAAGGAGATAGGTCGGGGCGTAGCGCTCCGACGATTGCTCGGGGGGACTTCCCCGAGCCGGTTGCGGTGCTAAAGATCACCCGCGGCGACTTCCCCGGGCGTGACGACCCGGCCGCGGGAGGGCTTAACACTTGGACCTCGCTGGATCCGCTCCCGTTGCCATCCTCGCCGGGGCCTCCGGGTAAGAAGCCGCTCCGCCCTTCGGACCCGCTCGGGAGGTCTTGACCAGTGGGGGCGCTCGGAGAACGGGGCGCGGTATAGCGGTCGATGAATTCGCCCGTGCTGGTGGTCCCTCGTGAAGAGCCGGTCGCTGTGTCAGATTCGTCCCCGGCCGCGTAATCCCGACCGGACATGTTCTGACTATCCCAGCTAAACATCTTCTCCTTTAAAGAGAAAATGAGGGGGGGTGTTTCAGTGTGGGATCCCGGTTCAGGTCCTAACCTACGCCTAGGCGGGAGTTATTGAACTACGAGTATAGCTGCAGAGAGGGAGAGGCTTACCGATCAGAAGGCTTGTGGGTAGTGACCGCTTGCAGTTCCGAATACAGAAGCAGAGACGACCGGGAGGCTCTGGAGTTCGTCGAGGAAGCGAAAAAGCTCACAATGGGCCCCTAAGCCCCTTTTTATAGAAGCAAGAAAAGGCGGGAAAAGAGAAGCTTCTGCAGCACGCCAGACCCGGATCCCAAGACCATCAATGGCCGACACGTGGCAGGCTGCACCACACGCGCGTCTCCACCTCAGCCTACTCCGTGGGACCCGTCCGTCCAGTGCCCCCAGAAGAGGAGAAGGCAGCCCGCACCCCTCCTTCAGGCGTCGTCGGGCTCCGGGCGGGGGGGACTATATGATGGGGAATATACACCGGCCATACGGGTCGACATTCTGACCCGGCCGTCCTGCCCGGTCGTGTACGCAAACGGGCACTTGCCCGTTTGCCCGATCAGTCCCTTAGCAGGGGCGCCTCCGGAAGGCCCCCGAGCTCTCGACTGAAAACCGGGATGTATAGCCGCCCGGGATATGAGCCTGACAGCAGCAGAAGCCTCGCACCACGTGTACGGTCGCATGCCTGCCTCTCCTCCACCCGGTGCATGCGCGCCACGTGTCCGACATGCCGGGGGACCGGGCGCAGCTCCCTAGGACCCTTATAAATACTGCATTAAATGCTAGAGAGAAGGGCTTTTGGATTAGGTGACTTACTAGATTAGAGAGGATCCCGGTCATCATATACGATCGGTCTGTCTGTAACTCTATTGTAAGCTACACGTATCAGTACACAGCTATTTTATCCACATCAATAATAATAATAATAATAATAATAATAATAATAATAATAATAATAATAATAATAATAATTGGTGGTGGTATGACGGTGGTGGTGTGGTGGCGGTGGTATGGTGGTGGTGGCGACGGTGGTGGTTGCGGTGGTATAGTCGTGGTGGTGGCGGCGGCGGCGGTGGTTGCGGTGGTATGGTGGTGGCAGCGGCGACGGTGGTTGCGATAGTATGGTGGTGGTGGCGGCGGCGGCGGTAGTGGTGTTGGTGTGATGGTGGTGGTAGTATCACGGTGGTGGCAGTGGTCGTGTGGTTGCGGTGGTATGGTGGTGGTGGCGGTGACGGTGGTTGCGGTGGTATGGTGGCGGTGGTTGCAGTGGTATGGTGGTGATGGCGGCGGCGGTGGTATGGTGGTAGTGGTGGCGGCGACGGTGGTTGCGGTGGTATGGTGGTGGTGGTGGTGGCGGCGGTAGTGGTGTTGGTGTGATGGTGGTGGTGGTGGTGGCGGCGACGGTGGTTGCGGTGGTATGGTGGTGGTGGCGGCGGCGGCAGTGGTGTGAAGGTGGTGGTGGCGATGGTATGTGGTGGTGGTGGCGGCGGCGATGGTGGCGGTGGTATGGTGGTGGCGGTGGTGGCGGCGGCGATGGTGGCGGTGGTATGGTGGTGGTGGTGGTGGCAGCGGTGGTGGTGGTGGTAGTGGTTGCGGTGTTGGTGGTGGTAGTGGTGGTGGTAGTGGTTGCGGTGTTGGTGGTGGTAGTGGTGGTGGTGTGATGGTGGCGACGGCAATAGTGGTGGTGATGGTGGTATGGTGTTGATGATGTTGGTGGTGGTGTGATGTTGGTGTAAAAGTTGGAAAATGACTTCCCCCAAAAAAAGGGGAAGTCATTTTCCTCCAAAACAAGCCTATTTTCCAAAGTCAACGGAAAATGATTTCCGTTGACTTGATTTTCCAGACACATCCAAACACTGGAAACTTGGAAAATGATTTCCAGAACTCATTTTCCAGGTTTCCAAACACACCCTAATAGTAGAAAATTAACCAAGACAGTTCAAGGGGAAATGATGGAAATTGCCATTTTCTATGATGATTGTTGATTACATTTGATTGATGGAACAATTCTATGTGTGATTTGAAAATTACAAGGTTATATTCCGAAAATATTCCTCCACATTACATTGCTGATGACGTTCCCTTTTCTTCCAACAGGTGGGCACTTCATCAAGTCATCAGTAGCCATAGCGAGTGCACCGAGTGTATCGGGCAAATTATTGTGTCGATAATGATCCACACAGTGTTATGTGGATCATAATAAAAAGTACATTTTT